GTGGACGGCCACGAACAGCCCCCTTCTGTCTTCTGCTCCTGCCCTGTTCATCGGTTGCAGTGCTCCAACTAGCACTGGAGAGAGATCTGCCTCCATTCTGGTCGAAGGAGTCCTTCTCCGAATCGCGCCTGTCTGCCACCTCCAAGCTGAGGGCCTTTTCTTTTACAGGAGAGGGCGTGGCGAGGAGCGCCTTTGACATGGATCGGTCAGGATGCGCAAAGGAGCCCTGAAAAGGAAAGGATGCAGAGCGAGTCATAATATGGAAGGAAGAAAGGGACCCATACCCACACATTCACACACGAAGTCTATTACCTGCTGTTTTGCTTTCGCCTGAACCAAAACGGTCCAAGATGGCTGTCTACATAAAGGCCGGTGCATATCACAAGTCAAATACAATGATCCGGGTTCTATCAAACGTTTTTATCACAAATATTCGTCTACTTTAGTAGAAGTAGACTTGTCGATAACCAGAACCGTTTGCTTATTGTTCTAAGCTTTCAAATTCGTTCAGAATTCCCCCCCTAAAGACAACAGCAGCAACCAAATCGACGACAATTATAGGGAATTTGAACCAATGACGCACGGCTGAAGATGACTGCTAAGGGTTCTGTACGCTAGTGCCAAATCAATTAATCGATTGATTGAGTTTCGTATGGGAAATAGGCTCCATACAATTATTTGATCGTCTTGTTGCCCGCGTAGGCGAGTATCTTGATGGCGGCAAAATTGAACTCATGGCCCGTTTCCAAGGGGTGAGTAGAACCTAGCGATACTTCGTCGGTCCGTCGCACATCCAGCTTATTTTCATAAATACCCCGACCCAAGCATGCGTTCAGTTTGACCTGTGTAAGTACAAGGACAGCCTAGGCATTAGATACAATACACTACTCCATACTGCTCTCTGTGATTAAGCCAGTTATTTATTTTCATTATCCTGCGGCGCATGGTAGTTTTGGGTCGGTGTGCAGTTCAAAAACCTGGTCCCACAGCCATACGCTCAGTGGCTTCTGAGACATCCCTCGTGAAGGACAGAGCGTTTAATATCCTAGGTGGTTCGTATGTTTTGGTCCTCCGAGGCCGAACACGTAGGCATCGGCTTATAAACACCTTCGGATATCCGTTCCGCATGAACCGGTCGTACAGATATCGGGCCTTGTATATCGTTACCTCCGGCCTGCTGCAGTAAGACTGAATCCATTTTCCTTGTAATTGCACATGTTTAAATGAGCACATGCTTGGATTGCGTATGCCTGAACATATACCGGTTGTGCGACATGGCAATAAATTATCGCAAGATTCCGCTTCCGACTACGAAACGGTTCACGAGTTCAATTTCGCAGCCATCAAGCTACTCGCCAACGTCGGCAACAAAATGAGCCGAGGATTGATTTAAGCTTAGTTCACGGATGGGAACTCAATCAATCGATGTATCGATTTGCCGCCGGCCTGCAGAGCTCTGCGTAGTCACCTCCAGCTGTTTGTCGCCGATAGATGGTCTATTTTGTTGCTGCATTCGTCTCTGACGATGAACTTCTGTGTGAGAATGACAGCTCAGAATAATAAGAAAACTGGTCCGGTGCCCGACCAGTCTTCTCCTTTGCTCAAGTATCAATACCGGTAGAGACAAGGGAGATTGAAATGAAAAGTTTTGACATACATAAATAGCTATGAATATAAATCTCAGTCCCTTCTACCTTCGCTAACATCTACTCTGCGCTATTTTACATAGTTTTGCAGCTGTTTACAATGCAAAAAGATTGCAACTCAAATGCAAAATAATTTTTAGCGCAGTCAAATCGGCCGTTTCGCTTGGCGTAGAAGAAGCTTTAGTTTGGATCAGGCAGATGCAGATGTGGCAAATGTGTGGTTAATGTCGCACTGGTCGATGCACGGAAAAAACATATATTTCTACCTAGCCCACTGTCTCTGCGTCTACTATGCTCTGATACAGAAACGATTGTTTGCTCGTTTCTTTGGCGATAAATAATCCAGAAGAAAGAGGGAGGCGCAGTTTCATTTAGAATTTGTTGGTGCTAGTCAGAGCGTTTCACATCATTTAAAAAAGAATTATAAAGTACAACTCTCGTTTCGAGGTTATTGGTGCTCATCAGAACGCGCTGTCTCTTCCATTCTGATGGGTATTGTTTCATTAATGTTTACCTCGAAAAAAGCCAGTTACGAGTAGCTGAGAAGATGAGCTGGTCTCAAGGAGTGTCCTCATTTTTGAGTTAACAGGAAAAACCTACGTTTTTATTAAAAAACAGCAAAACTTACTGAGTGACCAGACCATGGGCTGTTCCTCATTCTTAGTAAGACGTCCTCTGTGTCTTCTCCGCCCGTGGCTGAACTGGAGACAGAACTGAAGGGGACAAAATTGGTGTGAAATGTATTCTTTCAAATTATTTCAAGAGAATTCCATAAGAGATACTCAAAACAATCAAGCAAATTAGTAAATTAAAAAAGATTCAGAGAATACATGTCGGCCTCATTATACTGGTCGAGGAGGGAGCTCGTCCGACGGAAGTTACTGCCCTGTCGTCAACACTCTCATACCACCACCACCACCACCACCACCACCACCACCACCACCACCACCAC